TTTGCTGGTCATTTAAGCCCCCTACTCTGCCATAGACTGACTTCGGAACGAGGACGGCGACATGCGACTTTTAAGCGTTTTTTCTCGTATTCCCTAAAAAGCGGCCCCCAAGAAAGCTTCATTGTATCTTTTTTTCAACAGAAAAGGTAACTTCGCTCATTTCTATTACAGGAGGTTAAGCCCTCCACTGATCACAAAATGATAAACTTTCAAACCATATGATAACAGTTTCGCCACTACGACATACTCGCTAAAGCTCGAAGTGGAATGAAGACGAAAATCACGTTTTCCCGCCAAATTGACGCTGGATAACACGCGCGCACTACTTAGCATTGCCAGGGAAAATCTCGTTCTCATAATCGTCCTCGTATATAGAATCTAAAGGTCTCACTCTCTAATGTTTCAAACTACCGACGTATACATTAATTTAAGTGGAAGCTATGCAGTCTTCCGGGCTCTTGCGGCCAGATGAGAATTAAAAGACGGGAAGGGGTTGTAAATAAACGTACAAAGGACAAACAACAGCTGTGAATAATACAGTTTACTACAGAAATATTTTCCACACAACTCAATACAGAAAATTCACACCATTTCTTTGTCAAGCCTAACTGATATACCAAACACGTAAAATGACAGTTTAGAAGAAATAACAGCCGTCTTGCCAACGTAGTTTCATCAGCGAAACGACTAATTTTTATCACTCTAAATTCTTAACTCGCCCAAGACAGATTGGACCAATTTTGTCGAAATAGACACAAAATGCCTTCAATTACCTGGTGGTAACTTAGTTGCTGGTAGCTACAGTCTGAAGATAAAAGCTCGCCTCACTCCTTCCAGAACATTTGGGTCACCAGGTGGCGTACGATGGGAAGAGAGAAAAGGCTTCCTCTTCCCATCGTCCTCCACGCGCGTTTTCTCTCTCCCCAACCTCCTTACAACACAAAGCACACAGAGGCCCCTGCAGGGGAGGGAGAGGCGAACCCACCATTGAGGCTACGATTTGGTGTCTGCGTAGCGGGAGTTATCTTCAGCCAATAGCATTCTATCATAAGCGATGTCTGCGATGGCGTTGTCTCAAAGGCAATATTTGACATGATAATTAGCACAGGAAATTTAAAAGTTTGAAAGGGATTTACCAAGAACAACATATTCAGCTATTCAGTATGTCGCCAGTCATTATACATCCTACCTCTGAAATAAAGTTGTACTTTCAGCGGGTTACCGCTTTAAATGTCTCGCAAAGAGGCAGTAGCCTTCGAAATATACACAAATAACTGAAACAATGTTGGTATAATGGCAGTCATTTGAGATAAAAGAACTGTCGCTTGTCAGTATTAAAAACGTGGCCTTAAAATTAACATCTTATGACACAAGTACATAAGTTAAGCGTGCATTCAGTAACTACAGATTATGTAGGACAACTACTTAACTTCGACATAACCGCGACGCGGACACTAAAGCCTGGTCTCTATATAATCGTCCGCAACGTCATAATTGCCCTAGCCGTTGTAAAATATGTTCTGGAAATTGAGAACATCATATGGAAACAGCGCTGATGCGAAATATTACGGACATCACATAGATCTAATAGCATCTATTTAGGCTGGTCTGCATATAATCTTCCGTCGGATCGCGTCAATTGAATCGTCCCAAACTATGGATGCAACTGGCACGATTACATGCAAACCACTACTCTAACAAAATGGTCTCGACGGTGACTTGCAAAATGGACCACTAACTGGTAAATACGCGGTTAATTCATGACTAATCTTATTGTTATTATGATCACCTGGCAGCTAATAGTGATTTTACGCAACAGGACGGCAGGTAGAAGACGGCAAAACGCTTGTGCATGACCAACGTGACCGGGCTATTCCTTGCTTGTTATGTGGTGATCTTCACTTAACATCAATGTTTTCTGGTCTTTTACAAAAAGATCTGTTTAAAGGAAAGTGAAGTTTGGCGAAAAGTTTTTTCAAACAAAATTATTGTCACGCTTGCCACACAAGGTTTGCCGTCTTCTTTCGTCTCCCGTCCTGTTGCGTAAGTTCACTATTGTTATCTAATTGTACATTTTTTTCACACAAACTATTGCAAGTTCACTCTTTAATTCTCATTGGGAATGAATATAAACAGCGTCTCGTCCGCTTTATTGAAAATATAAGCCACAATTCATTAAGTTAAAGTTAATGTAATATTCTAATGTACCCCTCCCCCGAAGGTAGCATTTTCCCCCAAAATGTTTGGCGGAGTCTTTTTAAAGATAGAGGGAGGCATTCAACACTGAAGGGCGCGCCTTTTCATAAACATGGACTTTAAGATCCGACTACGCGATGGCAACGAGAACGTCAAAAAAAAAAAAAAAAAAAGTAGGTTTAGAAGGCAAAACAACAACTTTGCACGAGCAAAACAAGCGACGACGAAATTTATTTCTCTTTCTGAACTTGAATAGGGATCCTAGGAATTCAACTGCAGGAGGTTTAGCCTACTTTTGATAAAGTAAATGGGTAGGAGTAAGCGCGATAAAGACAGCAAGAACGTCAATTCACTTTTTAAGCGACGTTTTCGCTGCCATCGCATCGTCGGATGGTTAAGTCCCTACTTTTGCTGAAAACCCCCGGGGGACTCACAGAATGCTCGCCGTATCTCTTTAAGAGGTAGGAATTGCATATTTTCATCTCAGTTGGAGTGTTAAAGCAGTCAAATGGTGGAGTGGTGGAGGTGGGGATGGGGATTGAGGGGGTGTTTAAGGTACTAACACTAAGAACAGTTACTTAATTTACGCTTCACTTCAGAAGAGTTTGAGGGTTGGATAGGTGGGGTGGGGTGGGGTGGAGTGGGTGGAGACTGATTATACTATATATTATTTCCAGTAAAAAATAACTTTTCAAAACTATCCTCAAAATATGAAAGCATTATCTTCTTTCTCTCGTACACCGGCAACGCGACTTAACAGGAAGAAACCTGGAGTTGTTTATTCGTCGAACAAGGCCTTTATTTCTGCGAAGCTTTCCTGGACGGTCTTGGAGAAACGCTTACAATCCTATTAAAACATAAAGAACGCCGTTACATCACAAACAACGTATACAATCAAGGAGGGCAAAACTGATTTAAACTCTAATAGTGTACCAATGTGTTTGGAGATTTAAAGGGGCTGTGACACGGTTTTCTAGTTCATTGAGGAGTCAGCGTGGCCGAGTGGTCAGCGCGTCGGACTCGCAATCCAGTGGTTTCGGGTTCTAGTCCCACTCTGGCCCCTTGCTCGATTGCTCTCGGTCGTCCCGAGTTCAAATCCTCTGCCACACTTGTAAATAACTAACTGGTTGCCTCCTGCCTGTTAAGGCTTTTAATCCTGTTATGTTGTATTGGAATTATTTGTTTCTAAGTATTTGAGTGGAGTGCCTGTAAACTAGCTGGATAAGCTAAGTGCACTTTCCACTATAAACAAGTCTTTAAACCTTTTGTTAATATTGCCAATTACGCGTCTCTAATGCGCGATGGAACTTAACTTTAGCGAACAAATGGCAAGTAAACGACTAAATCACAGCTTCTTGTCCCACAAATTTACCACCCAAGAATCATATCAAACGTTACCAACAAAAAAATGAACTTTGAAAAACTGTTAGGCTAACAAGTTTCCAAAAATCCAGAATTTCAAATCCGGTAATAAGGCCGAGTGGGCTATTGACTCAGAGACCATGAGGGCGAGAGAGATAATTGTTTTAGTAAAATCCAACTAGTTGGTCAAAAATATCGAGAATAAAAAAAATTTAGCTAGTAAACGTTAATCCTTGTTTGCCGCTAAAAAGCCCGCGCTTTTCGCTACTAGGGGGCTATAACATATAGCCTAGTAGTAGCTCAACCAATCAGAACGCAGCATTGATAATACATCACTAGCTGGATTTTACTAATTCTTAATTATACCTTCTTTTAATGCTTTGAGCGATTATTTCTATGGTTTACTTAATTTGGCAGCAGTTCTTGCTGTTAGAATTTTGATAAACTTTTGACACAGCTCCCTTAGGGATGACATCATGTTTCTGGGTTCTTTTGCAAAGAAATATGTTTGATGTGCGATAGATATTTCGCTATTTCACCATCTTCATTTCCTTGAATAACTTTTAGGTTTGTCAAATCTGTAGTTAACGGTCTGTAACTAAGCCATTCGCCATCGGCGACCGCTTTATAGAGGTTTGACTGCAATAAGGTCTTTAAACTTGTTACTCAGGTTGGAAACATTACTTACAGTTTTGGTAGATGAAACCTTGGCGGTGATATGGAAAAAGATAGTGTCTTCACCAGCAATGATGTAAGATACCCCATAGCCATCATCGGCGACCTGAAAAGAGACAAGATTTCACCTACCATCAGCAGACCACATTGTGATTTAACATGTGAAAATTAATAAATAAAATCTTATCTTTCGCGTAATTTCGTGTCACTCTTTCACTGTTATATCTTCGCATTGCAACATGGCCGCCGAACTAAACCATCTCGAACACATTGTTTGGGCCAGCCCCTCTCGGCCAAATGAGTTTGTTTTGGTTTCATGCGGACCAATCACATCGCCGGAAATCATTTAAACAAAACTGTCTATGGCCCGGACTGATCAGATGCACAGTTATGGGATTTATGCGTGCCGTGCATCTCAAAGCGCTTTGTAAGCAATTTGTTTAGGTTACCTGAATCAGTCCTACCGATAACAGGGACTTTAAGCAAAGACTACGGAGGGTTCTAGTACGGTGACCGGAGCAATTTTTATCCTGCCATCTGTCGATGCCTCAAGTCAGGGAGTTTAAGATTCCACGACGGCCACAGCGGTGAAAACGTCGCTTAGAAGTGTATTCGCCTTCTTTTATTCTTTATCGCGATTATTCCAACCGGCTAACTAACTTTGTCAAAGTTGGCGAACTCTCCTGAGGTTGAAGCCGTGCTGTGACGCCCCACCGTAAGGAAATGTTAAGAAGAACATTCATAAAAGAGAGCGATGCATGGGCAAATTCAGGGCTTGCTTTTATTTCATCAGTCTTATTCACACCACTTGGTGAGATGATCTCCCTTATGAAATATCCTCTTTATCCTTTCCCGTCAACTGTATTTTGCGTACTTGGCTTTAATTTTCACTTGAGTGTCGTGCTCGACAACGAAATTTGGGGCTCATAATCGAAAAATGAGCCTTCGGAAATTTCCAAGGGAGACCAAAAAAGGATAAATGCGTATATCTTGCGATTCTGTTTCAAATGTACACTGGCGTTCTAGGCACGTAACATACAACTAATATATACTTAACGTACTAGACACTACGGCCAGCCATGACCTTCTACGTATTCGCGAAGCGTAGTAAGGCCAGTCAATAAGTTTAATTAGCAAATCAACAACTTTGCACGTGTATCTTATTGTTTAATGAACATTTCTTTGCCATCCCTGCACGACCACGACGTGAAAATGCCTAATTTCACGTTTTATTGAGGACGTAACCAAACCAAGACGAACTTTTTCCCTCTATGAGTTTATCTACATTTGACAAAATAAGAGACTTGAAATAATCGCGAGAAAGTTTGAAAAAAAGGGAATTGACTTTTTATTAAACAGCGACGTTTTGACCACCGTCGTGGTACCCTGAACTTGAGGCACTGACGCGTGGCGGGAAAAAATACTTGCGGTCACCGTACCAGACCCTTCCGTAGTCGTTGCCTAAAGTCCCTAACATCTCACCTAAACAACTCACGTAAAAATCACTTTACTTATTCTGATCACAGAGAAGTGCCTTTCGCCCCTAAGAGGTGAACTTGCATCACAGAGATCGTTTCCTATTGCTGGTTTGCACGTGACGTCACAGCGGCCATGTTGGTGGTCAAGAACAAAAGCCTTTCTCTCATCTGGGAACTAAACCTTATTTTCATGTAAATTCTTCGAGAAAAAATTCTATAGGCCATTTCCGAGTTCCAAAACCCCTCACTTTCAGAAAGAGGCCAAGTGCACAACCTTTCTTGTGAAAATGAGTTTTATTTGCATGAGAATGAAAAATCCTTTCCCTATCAAAGGCTGAGCACTTAACCTCGTTTTGATACAGAGGCCCGGAGAAACTCGGAAATGACCTATTGTATTGACCCCCAACATGGCCGCCTTGTCACGTGGTTGCAAACCAAGAATACTTGTATGTTCGATCAGTTATCATATATATCTTGTAAGAAAATGTTAACAACTGCGTATGATCATACATTACTACGAGAAATGTTTTTATATGCCAAAAAAGTAAAAACCACTTTAGCTTGACCGACAGTTGTTCAGTCAAAACTCCTTTGCCTTGTATACAGCTATTTCGAGAAAGGTTGTCGGAAAATATGTGCACGCGACAATCCCGAAAGGTAATATGGGATAGCTGTCACCTACTTTTGTTACTTTCCTTTAGCACTCGCAAACAATCCATGGCCTCTTGAGCTATTGTTTCAAATTTCTTTGAAAAACAGTGCACTCAAAACCACCCACAATACCTTTCGGGATTGTTGCGTGCACTTTTTCCACAGCCTTTCTCGAAATAGCTCCAGTGTATCGCTTGAGAGAAAACGGAACACTCGAAAATCAAGAGCAGCTACTAGTATCTTACCGGTCCAAATCCTCCCCCAGCTGTTTTCAGTCTGTTTTTGATCGCTGGATTCTTGTCGTAGTCTATTCTCTTTGTTTGTTGAGTAGCAGTCTTAAAACAAAGAAGAAAGCGTGGTTACCTGCTTAAGGGCCTTTTTAACCCGGCAATTTTGTTGCGCGTTTTCTCACGCACACGATTTTACGAATATTGCAAGCTAGCATAAGAACAACATGATTTGCATGACCGTCCCGTGGGAATGTAGTCCTGAATAGGACTGTTGTTGTTGACAGTGACTGACGTTTCGACAACCTGTGCGGTAGTCATCTTCAGAGTCAAACTGAGTTGTATCACCTCAGTTGACCTTACCTATGAAATGACTCATGGGTAGCAGGAAGGGTTGCATCAAAACAAGTTCAACTCCAGCCTCGTTTCCACCTCAGTGTATCTATAAAGTGGACTATTTCAGTTCGACCAGGAATCAGATAGACGAAGAACCACTAAGTGGATGTGCTACCTCTAAATCGTTACTTATTTTAAAATAACTGCGAATTTGCCTTAAATTTTAGTCATCGTCAAATTTTCGGCGACTTAACCCCAGTAAATCGCGCTACAATCGCTGACTGTTTACACACGCGCTTAGCCGCAGGTCGCAGATCTTGTAGCGCCAGAGATCTCTCGGTAAAATCGCCCGTGTAAATATCCTCACGGAGGCAAACCACGGCTATTTTACAAATGTGACCGAGGATTTGAACTCGGGACTACCGAGAACGAATCCATCTAATGGTCAGGGCGGAACTTGAACTCGAAGCCTCCAAATTATAAGTCCAGCGCTCTAATCGATCGGCCACGCGGCCACGCTGCCTACTCATTTTAAAAAATAACATACTTGACTTGTTGATAGTTTCCATGGTTCTTTGAGAGCCTGAAAAACACACGAAAAAAAAGCGATTTTAGTAAATAGCTTCATGGCGACGTGGTTTCAAAAGAGCATACCTACCTCCTTAAGAAACGGCGAATCTTCTTCCAAGTACTTAGAAACAACGTACAGGCCGAACAAATGACGATCAACACCTGTAATGAATCAAAAGGCATAGCCGGTTCATCAGTGTCATTGAACCTTGACTGTTTATAGAGAACGACATTTCATTTACCCTTTCAAGAGTGAAACGCTCAGGTTCAAAATTACCTTCTCCAGACATCGCCCTTTTGAAGTTATTGACATGTCCCTCCGCTGCCTTGATAAACAACTCCTTCCTCTCAGATTTCTGCCACAGAAAAAAAAAAACGCCTCAGTACATGTATGACCAAGATCATTGCAGTTGGCGAAGCTATAAAGAAACAAAAAACAGTAAACCGTATTTTAGCCCGACTGCACGATTCAAAAAGTGTTTTACTGGCAACCTCAACTGGCGCTTGGAAGTAATGGGCGCTAGAAAGAACGGGGCGAGCGAGGGAGACACGCGTGTCTTCGTCGGGTGCCCCGTTCTTTCTTCCAATCAACTGGCTAAAACCGGTTTTGATTCAAACAGGCTGATAAAAATAGAAGAGAAATTACATACTGTTGCCGCTGGGTTACGCATTGACCTGACAAAAGCACAGGCCTCCATTGTGAGGGGCCTCACAGTCTCTGTACGTCCCTCTCTGAAACAAACCATGACATCTGATAAGCACACTGAAAGGGTGGTCTGCCTGTGATAACACTTGCCGAGACCTTGATCATTCTGGGTGTCACAAAACCCGAATCTAATAATTGTTTTTGAAGAAAATAACGACCAACACACCGTCCTACGTTTTTATAGCTCAGTGCAAAGATGCCTCTCGCCACCCTGTGAGTTTGACATTACGTTTACGTTTGACAATTTGTTGGTTGCGCTGATTTCCAAAATTAACGGTAGGCTCTTAGCCAATGAGAAGACAGATTCAATTCAATGAAATTCAATTCAGTTTATTATCTAACAATATTTAGTTCTAAGTTATAGCCTTTTTAGCAGATAGTGAGTACAATGCAAAATAATGTTATTTATCTCCTTAGCCAATGGGTTATATTTTCCCGCATTTCGTTATTTGAACGTGCATGCATTTAATCACAGCTTTGTATAATAAGCACCTTAATGTTCACATCTGTCATGGTTAAGGTACTCATGATTTCTGTCTGTGGTTGACTTTCTATTAAAGATAAAAACTTTTATACCCTGATAAGTACCTTCAAAGAAATCATGTTTCTACTTACCTAAAAAGCCTTGTCATAGAAGACTCATAGGACAAGCTGAAATGCTCTTGGTCCTAGATAAGATATTATGAACAACAATAAGTCACAAATTTCCAGTAACATGATTCAAGTTGTAGTCAGATCACACCCTAACGTAGAATTTTTTCACAACCCGTTACCACACGAGTCTTTCCAAAAACTCTAATAACTCATGAGAGAAAAACAAAGGAAATCACTACCATAAAGAAGGTTTGGACATCAGATCCTGATTACTATCAAATCTTGCGAACTTTAACCGTGAATTTCCTCAAGAATTCTGATCATCTGACCAGCTATACACACTCGCCAAAGTGTTTCACGAGAGGTCACGAGCGAGCAGCGCGCGAAAGCACAGGCTTTTCTGTTGTTCTTCATTTAAATTCCCTTCAATTCTCAGTGTCCGGATGCGGTATAATACAATACTGCTCAAAAGTATTTACCAGTCGTGTCTCGTTTCCAGCGCCACGAGAATCGCGTAGCGCGAGAATCAGTGAAACGCAATCTTTGGCATAAATTATCAACGTGTTTGACTTGTTACATAAAACATGGCAAGATCCACAAACCTTGAAGTAAGACAGTTGAAGACCCATCTGTATAAATGCATCTGGACTGCAGAGGAAACGTTTAAACGTTAATCATGGATACACACACCGCGAGAAAAACAATTTCCCGCGAGAATTCTCACATTACGGAGCTTTAGATTACAAGACGAGTACGACATTTTCTCAAAACTAAGTAGTGCACGGGCGCGAACCAACGACATTTTGGCGGGAAAATGTGGTAGCCGTCGTCAGTCTACCACGAGTTTTAACAAGTTATCAAAAATAATGTTAGGAATTTTATCATTTAGCGATCGGGAGAGGGCTTCACCTCCTGCCTTCAACGGAAATAAGCGTGCTAACTTTGGTGCTGAAGTGTCTATTTTTGGAGAATAGGCGAGAAAACTTAAAATTAAATCGTCGCCGTCCTTGAATCTTAAGCTCTCTACTCACTTTTGTTTCCCGCAGTAATTATCCCTTTCTGGCCTTTCATAGCCATCCTATGGTTCACCTGCGCGATTTTTTTAATCGCAGTAAAAAGAGCCTTTAGAGACATGCTTGTTGGCTAAGTAGAGGTTCCATCACAATTTTCCTATCAGGGGCTAAAGGGAATATATGTAAATAACAAAGACATTTACCTGACTTTCATCTTCTTGATGGCTCCCTTTCCTGAAATAGAAGTTGAGGCGTTATCAATAAGAGGGCTGTACTTGACCTGTCCGTGCAAAACATGAGCACGAGAGGGAGGGGTGGTCAAACGGCTGTCAACGATCAATCAGGAATTATCAATGTCGTGATAAACAGGCAACCCAACAAAGTCCGCCAAACTAGAACTACATCTGCTTACGTCAAACGCAATAAATTTGACTATCAATAAGTTATGGGTAAGTCTTCACATTATAGCGGAAAGGGCAACCTACCGAAGGCGGTGTGTGCCAAGACATGAAGATCAAGGTCACTGATGAGTTTTTCTGCATTCTTCTGACAAGTCTCGATTATTGATACACACTAAGAAACAACAAAACAAATAAAACGATTCAAAATAAATAAAGTAATTCATCATGCGATTGAGCATGAAGAAAGAACAACCTGCATCCTCCACAATTTTACTACTTGACTGGTTAGCAACTGAGCAAAAAAAACAACTGCATGTGTATGCCCTAAAAATCGTGGTCATTTTACAGCCCTGGCAGCTGAAAGCAGTGTTCTGTCTGTGAACCATTACCTTTTCCAAGTGAAGTCAACATATTCTTTCTGCATTCTTTATACTATTTAGTACATGTATTTTGACACGGAACATTGTTCCAAGCACAAATTTTTTTTTTCCCTTCACGTGATTCCCTTGGAAACCATACCCGATATCTTACCAAAGGGCTAAACATCTAAACCCTCAGGCTCTGGGGTGGCACACACCTATATACATTTGTGTAGCTTATGGAGTGGGGTATATAATGATTACCTTTTCAGGAATATCCCACTGCAATCTTGGTGGTGGGGGCAAAACAAACTCTGGCTCACCCTTGCAGTGACCATCCTCTTTGTAACTGAAACATAACAATGTTACTATTGTTAATAACAAAAGAAAACATCGGTAGTGCTCTTAAAGCTAAGAATTATCCGCAGCAAATAAAAATAAATACTTGTTTCATGCATTTGCTCGGCCCCACTAGCATTAGTGCTATAAATACTGCCGAGGGTAAAAAACGGAATTATTTATTCTTTTAAGAAACTGATCTTAAGAATTAGTCACACCTTTTCTTATCACGTAAATAACATACCCCAAAAAGTGAAAATCTTCAACTAAAACTGTCTCTCCAAGATGTGAAATAATTGGAGCATCTGCCCTGCAAACAGAACAGTTCAAAAGCATGGATGTATTAGGGCAGGTTTATAGTTTATGACTAAATAACATCATGATATTGTTAGCTTCCCTACAAGGAAATTTTGTGTTCCATTCAGGCCCAGAGTCATCACAGGTCGCCCAAGCTTTTTGAGATACGTCTGTTGAACTTGGCAATGTCAAACAGGTTGAGCGTGGTCAGAACGTTGCGTAATAGTGAAAATGTAAGGGCCAGTATGGGGGAAAATATGAAATTTCAGGGGAAAATTATGAACTTCACGAGCTTAACCCACCAACCTTGGCAAGGTATGTATATAGGAAACAGCTACTGGAGCTGAAACCTCAAGAAATTAGCCTTCACGGTGGCCCCAAACCAGTACAAGACTCAATTATGGTAACGTGACATTACAAAGGACAACAGACATAGCTCACAGAGCTTGGGCTATCTCCCAGGGTATCAATAAAAACGGTAGTAATCAAGTGAATTTTATTGATTGATAACGAAAATCAGTGAAAATCGATGAACAAACTTGCTGTGTCAAATCGATATTATCAATTTTTCATGATTTTAACGATTTATAACGGTAGAGGGGGGATTGTAAGAAAGAGAATGCTTTTTTTCTCCCTCCTTCTTTTCTTTCTTAACCCCCCTCCCCCCCCGCCCCCACCACCTTTAACACTTGCTATGCAGGCTAAAAAGTTCCTATCTGCAGACGCCTCAATGCTTTCCCACCTCACTCTATGTATGTTTTGCTAGTTCGTTTATTCAAAATTACAGAAAGTTAAAAAGTTTATTGCTTTCATACCATGAATGCTCAGCAGTTAGGCCAAACTGTGGATTAACAGAAAAAAAAATAAACATTACCAAAAATGTTTAAAAAGTAAGATACAGTAGAACCTCGATAACCCGAACTCGGATAACTAGAATTCCCTGCTGACTCGAACTACATTTCCTTTCCCTTGATCAAAATTTCACTGCAATTTACCCTGATAACTCAAACTGTTTTTCATTTCCCTTCACTGTTCGAGTTACCGGGGTTCTACTGTACAATGACATACAGGAATGAGGATTTAATAATTATATTAACTTGATGGATAAAGAACAATTGACAAATATTAATAACATGAAGCCTCCAATAGACCATTTTACCGATGCGGCGGCCATATTGAATTTATTAGATTTAAGGAGTATTATGGTATGACCAGTGGGCAAAAAGAGAACATCATTGTATATTTCTTGGGGAAAATGCGATCATTATTACATCTGAACACAACACAACGATCTTTTTTTCCCATTACAATCGTTTTCTAGGAAAACGTGAAGAAAAATTGGCCCGGAAAGCGTGCGTAAATACAGAGCGAGTATATTGGATTGTGATCATGCCTCCTGGGCATCCTATAATACTCCTTAAATCTAATTGATTCAATATGGCCGCCGTATCGGTAAAAAGGTCTATTAATTTAGTTGGAGATGGTTGCTATGTCGTTATGTTGGGTAAATGAACTAGGGGGTTTAAGCCAATTGGAAAAATAAAATATTTTGAATTTGTATAAAGAGTAAAGGATATTTACCAAGCCACAAGGATGAGAAAAAACACAAACAACCAAAACAAATATTCAGTACAAAAATGCAGACAACAATATCTTACCCTGCCATTCTTGAAAATGTACGTAGAAAAAGATTTATCAAACCAACAACTGTGGCCATTGCCATGAATCAGATATCGACAAAGAGTATCCATATCTTCTGATTCCTCCTGTAGTTTCAAAATAACAAGACCGTGAACTTAAGAACCAACAACACTAATGTCAAATTTGACATCCCTGACATCTTGAATTTTAACTTGGAGTGGATTTTTCCCCTTCTTCTGTACCTAACTTTACAATATTACACTTCAGCACTCCATTGCTTTAAGGTTGGTAATAATGTAAAAAAAAGTTATTGCATAAGGAATGACTGACACCAATGAAACCTTAAACTAACGATACGCACTAAGCCTGACAAAAGCAGCCTGACATTGGCTTAACAAGCACTTCATATTAACAAAACGGTGAAGCTTGCACATCTTCAGGTCCATTTTATTTAATCTTGTCAATTTAACGTAAGGAAAGAAATTACTTCCAGATGACACAATGACTGCTTAGTGACAAAGATTTCCCAATGTCGCCTAAGCATTGTAACCCACTAGATGACAAGTTGCAGCAACAAGTCGTGGCTACAGATCACTCTGTGTGTACAGGTTGGGCGACTAGTTGCAGCAACACTTTGCAGTGGCACATCACAGCGACAAATCGCTTTGTGTGTACTGGAGAATTTTTGTGAAAATCTTTGTCTCTGCAGCAGAATTTTATCGCTCCAACAAGTTGCACAAAGGGTATTTGATTTTTTGTGACATGTTGCTGCAACAAAATTCTGTTGGGGAGACAAAGATTTTCATAAAAATTGTCCAGTACAAACAAAGTGATTTGTCGCTGTGACGTGGCAGTGTGACATATTGCTGCAACTTGTCACCTAGTGTATACCAACCTTAAAGTTAAGAACAAAAAAGATAACAGGCTGAACACTTCTCAAAAATGCCAATTTTAATGTGAGACCCACTACTACAAACTAAGGACAGTGGAATTCATTTTTTTTCCAAATTCATATGGACGATAATATAGATTGCTAATTGTTTACTTCATTACCTCGCCATAATTCATCTCCAAGTCCTCCAAATTGAGGAAAAATGCAGCCTGTAAAGGCAGAAAAAAATGTTGTCAAAAACCATTAACCAAATATATTTCTCCTTTTCTCATGAACACAACTTTAACTACCATGCAAAGACGTAAATAGATGATGTCTACAGCAGGGTCGCTCATGCTGGTTTATGCCTAATAAACATGTTAAAAAAAATTGTCTTTTAAGGCAATTCCCTTGAAAAGGATGTACTATCCAGATCATTCAAACTTGGCACGAATGTCAGCCACATATAGGACATTCAAAACCTGAAACGAAAATATACAGTCACCGTGCTTGTTGTTGCCCAGTGTGTGCCCATAATTCTGAGTGTTTTTTCCTAGTTGTGTGCCAAATGCTCAAAACTTGAACAACCAACAAAAATTCTTATCATGTAGGAGAAATTAAGAATTTTACTAAAAACCTTTTCTGGCCCCGGTTGTTCAAATGTTGGATAGTGCTATCCACTGGATGAATCACTATCCAGTAGATAAGTGTTTGGGAAACCAATTGCACTATACACTGGATAGACATTTATCAACCTTTCAAACAACTGGGGACTGGGCTATATATTTTCAGTTAAGTGACTTCAAATAACCCGGTCTTGAAAAAATAAAGAGAAATGAACAGTTTTAACATTATTGCATACTTCTCTGTGGCTCTAAATGAGGAAATTCAAGTCATTCATATCTAAAAAAATACAACTTCTACTATCCAGATTTTCTCCCCTTAACGCATATTTTTGTGAAGCAATAACGAACAAAAACCACAAAAAAAAAATATGGGGATCACCATCTTTGTTTCATTGCAAAATGACAAAGGGACAATTTCGGCTTCAAATGATCATTTTGCGATAGGGGACTGAGTTTCAGGACAAACACCTTTTTAGCCCGTTAGAGTCATAAAAATCACTATTAAAAGCATTGGGACAACAAATTAGGGGCCTTAGTTACCTCTTTTTGGGCGACCAGTGAAAATCACTGCCACCTTTGAAGTCGTACTGTTGTGCACACTAAGTGATGTGCAATGCATAACAAGGGAATTACCTTAATTCCAATTTATCAATTTCCTCTTCTCAAATTAACAAATAGGAAAACCTATTAAGAACCTATTAAAATTTATAGGGGGAATCGATCATGAAGGTTGTTCTCTCCAGAAAAAATTATTACTAAATTTTATTCCTGATATGAGGAAGAATACTTACCTGTTCAATACAATCCAAAGACTGCTTATTTACACCCCTACTGAAGTAGGTACTCCTGGTCTCTGCCCAAAGGTTTCTGAGTTCAAAACCATTGTAATAAATATGACTATAATTGCATTTGCAAGGGTCAGGTTTATAATAATTATAACATACCAGGAAAATTATATCAAGACGTTTTGAAGACAGTTCCATGAAAATGGCATTTCAATTTTCCCCACTGACAAATAAATAGTTAAATGTGATAAAATATTGAAGAAGAGATTTCATTTTAATGACTACCTTATCGCAATATTATTGTTGGCCACAGATTCAAAAGTTCAAATAAAATTAAAGACTTGAGCAAAACGTGATGTGAAAATTTATGTTGTACTCCTAGTTTTGAGAATAATACTTTTCAAAAAGTACATTCATTTGTAGACTCTGGTTAGGAAAACTAAAGGGTGCAGTGTAGCGGAGCAGTTAGTGTGCTGGAAGTCCTGAGTTTAAGTCCTGCCACAACCAAAGGCTGGATTTGTTCCTCGGTAGTCCTGAGTTTAAATCCTCAGCAATGCTTGTAAAAGAGCCCACTGGTTTGTCTCTTACCAGTTGGGATTCTTAGTAGCGTTAATAATGTTCCATCAGAACCATTTGCTTCATTACCACTGAAAGCCTCATAAGGGGAGAAGATAATCAAGTAATGTATTTATCATTATTATAATTATTATTAAAAATGCCAACCTGTCAGCAGTGGTCAGAGCTGGTAGAAGTTCCTCTCCTGGGACAGGCTTTGATTCATCTTCAAGAATTTTGACAATTTGTCTTAACGGAATGAAAAAAAAGCATGTTCAAACATTGATGGCAAAAAAACTGTAAAAATGTATAATTAACACCCACAAACAAATCATGGTCATCATCATCCTTGCACCATTGTCATTACCATCAGGCATCATAGCAGGTGGCTAAAAAGGTTAGACCAAATAAGAGGTAATAAATAAATGTAAATAAACCATACCTCTCCAAATCAGCAGGCTTCAACAGCACTCCACGATGATAGCCATGGAGTCTAAAAAATCTTCCACGGTGGTAGATGACAGCATGGTTTGAGGAACCATGGTGATGGAGGTGATCTAAAGGGACAACACACAGAGCAAACAAGGAATAAAACAAAACACAAAAAAACAGTAAAATAATAGATTACAGCCTAGAATGTCTCCAGAATAACCATAAATTAAATTCCCTCACTTGTCAGTCACATAATTAAACTAAATGAAATCTTTATTCCCTAAGCATAGAATTTGAGGGACTATTTTATCATGTGATCTTCCACGCATACCATCCTGGCTCATATTTCTTGGAGGTACAATCAAGTTTTCTATAAAAGCCAAAATCTGTGGCAAAAGCTGTTCTGGCATTCCAAGTTATTGGTACTTAAGGAAGTTGTAGACTATCAGATCATCCAGAGCTGATTTTGTAACCTTATGGCGGCCACTTGGCAGCTTTGAAGGTCAGATCTGCACTGCAAAACCATGCTGCCAAGAGCTTTGATGGCTGCACAGCCCTTTAGATCCCACTGCAACTTGAGTTAGGCTGCAGTAAAGCTATATTATTGAAGCATTACTGTGGTGTCTGTGGTGCTGTATAGCACTTGGGAGGCTGCGACTTGCAGCACTCGTTATGGCTGAGCTTACTTGATGTTATGGGTGATCAAACTGAAAAGCTTAAGATGATGCTATGAATTTTTTGTGAGATGTTATAGGTGAATCCTCAGCACTGCACATTTTGCACAGGAGGCCGCACAAGACTTTTGCAATCAACTGTATGTTTTTTTGGCCATACATTTAATTTTATTCAGTTACATTCAACTGATTTTATTATGAACCAAAACAAGTCCAAACAAACAATATTGTTTCAATATTGTTGTTACCTTGGGTTTTAAGCGGTATCCTTGTTGTGCCGAATGTTTTCCTGAATTGTTCTGAACAAAGTGGAATGATACCCATGGCAAATTGCTGCAAAACGGACAGTAACAAAACTACTATTATCATCGCTTACTATGATAAAATACAGAAAAATACTAGTATCAACGCTGTGTTGTAAGAAAAATTTAAGGAATCCAAGGGTTGCTCACTAAACCTACACATATGAATTTAAGAGGCCCAGCACCTTCATTTTGTGTAAAGGTTAACACCTCCTGGTCATCCGAAGGCAAAAGTAAGTTGCCTTATGGGATTGCAGAAAGAACCAGGTACTTCCAAACATCAAAGGTTTCAAATTTAAAGTAAGAATTAAATACCACATTGAAAAAAATATTTCCACCAAGAACAATAAATTAGAAACCTTTTAAGAAAAATGGCCAAAAGAGCTTTCTCCTGTTCAATTAAGTTTGTGTGTAGTTATTATTGTAAACTTTTATAATATATTTTTTCTGCATTTTTTAAAGTAAAATTTCAGAGTGTACTTTAAATAAGGGTTAATTTCTCTTTTCATCTACATAATTAACCGCTGCCTGGTTAGCTAAGTCGGAAGATACTAAAATCTCATTGGTTCCTACCTATCAACTCATAGTACCGTCAACCTTATTGGCCCCTGCAACAAACATCCAAACATACAAAGCCACAAAGATACATACGCTCAATTCCAAACCACTCAATAATGGTATTGTTGTTTGCTCTGTCATGATTGCAATTACACTGTAACATATTGAAATTCTTGTTAAAAACCAGTTATTAACTTATCAGGTGTGCCATATCATAACCACCTACAGGTTCAAGCTTTTCCTTTAAAATCTGTTTCCTATACAGGAACAGGGCATGGATAGTGTTTGCTGCCCTAGCACTCTGAATTGGTGAAGGGACTTCAACAGCATCCTGACAAAAAAAAAACACAACACAGCAATAAATCATTTTGTATGTTTAAACAATGAAGGAATGCATGGAATAAAGCCCTAAAGGACTCCTGATTGAATGACAGAAGTCCTAATTGCCTAGAATATGAAAATTTTTATTATGTCAACTGAAGAACACATTAAGTCACGAACCTCTTCAAAAAAATTAGCACTGAACAAAATGATATCTTTTTAGACGATTTCTCTGGTGCACCAGTTCCATGATCACAAAATTGTGATGTCATGAGACATAAATTAAGGAACTGAAAAATGAGATTTTAAACATCCCTGTCCCTTTCTCAGGGTCACTACTGTTGTTGGACCTGACTGCAATGCATCTCACTGGCATGTTTTACCTTTTAACAGCCATTTTCTAGAAATCCATACTTGTTTACTTGTATCTTAAGTAACAATGTTCCTTAATTTACCTCATACAATCATGTAGTTCCTTAATCTGCATCACAGCTCCTTTGTTTCAAAGAGGTTTCTAAGTCTGAGAAGTCTACAACATGTTGAGTGCCAAAATGGCAGAAAATCTGAATGTTTCAAAAAATTCTTAAAAAAATCATGTTGTGCTCAAGAGAAAAATTCTTTTGCAGAGGTTCTTTTAGTAATGTGTATATTCTATGTTATGGGTAATTAAAGGATGACCACTTTATCTACATGTATCAAAGGTACAGACAAAAAAAGAAGTATCAGTTTGTGTAGTAAAATAAATGCTTACCACACCATAGTAGTTACTGTTAATCATCAGTGGCTCCCTGGACTGAAGATACACATACTGCTGCCACCAATCACTTATCTACAAAACAATATGGTTAATACTATGAAAAATCACTATTTTTTAATGTCAACTGGAAAATATGCTTCTCGTGTAACAAAATACTGCAGTGACTGCTTATTCATACAAAAATTAGCAGACGTTTTTACGTTTGCTGTTATTCCAGTAATTTTATCGCTGATCTACTAATATGAATGTGCACACAGTTATGTACATGTATATTCGCATAGACACACTTTGTAAAGCAACTGTATATGTCAGCTAGGTGGGAATTCTTTATGATCATGGTCTTCTCAGGGCTTCTGATAATTCGCGGAAAAAAAGTCAATTTTGCGGGATTTTTGGGGACAAAATCACGGAAAAATCGGTCGATTTCGCGGGAATTTTCAGGGCAAACTTGGCCGGAAAGCAATCGGTAAAAAAATGGCGGATTTTGTGGTTATTTTCAGGGCAAATTTCACAAGAACTCGATTGGTTTTACGCTGATCAGACCAGCGTTTTTAATGTTTTTCTAGCAGAGGACATCATTTGCTCTTTCAACAACAATACGCTCTAGAAATGAACCAAAGGCAAAGCCTTTAACATCATGGCTAGTGCCCAGTTTTTCACAACATAATCTACGCCTGGTAGTTTCGGAACGTTGTTTGCACGTTTCAGTGACGAAGTTTTGACATGAATTTGCGAGTTTACGGCAAGTAACCCCAGTAGCCGAGACAAGTTTCAAAATAAGTACAGACATGTATCTGATAAGATTTCCACCGAATTTCGCGGGATTTCTCAGATTTACCTGAATTTCGCGGCTCCGCGACTGCGCGAAACATCAGAAGCCCTGTCTTCTTGGTGCTTGTACTTGGAATCATTTTGGTAGTTTTGATGTTCAAGTAACATAAAAAACGACTACTGTAAAATATAAGTCCTGCTTTGCCAGGTGTTGCTCAAAAATTTAGCTTCACACAATGTAATATAATAGCAGACTCAACAAAAGAAACAACTACTTGCTTGCCCAAAAAAAGGCAACCAGATAAATTTGCAGCTACTAGACATACCAAAATAAAAAAATTATGATAGCTAGCCATGACAAAATTAACAATACAAAATGTCACTTGAACAAAGGCAAGAAAGAATAATATTTAAAGGGGACACCAGCATTATAACTTACATAGTTTGTGGACCACCATGACTTCCAAACTAAGTACCGTTGTAATCTTTTTCCAAGCCCATTCTAGAACAAAATAATGATGGGAACAAATTTAAGTGTAAAACACTTGCAACTTAACAGTTCATATTAAATGCACAGTTACAAATTGTATTGTGTACGTAAGTCCCAAACCTTAAAATCCTCAGCTAGTTTTTCCATCTCTTTAAAACGTTCTTCACAAAGGACAGGTCTGACTGATTCTAAATACTGAAAACACACAAAATGTTTTACAGGGGCAGGAGTTAATAATTTAAGCATATATCATTTGGCAAAAAGGACTTTAATACTCTACCCTTTTCATTGTAGCATCCAGATCTGGAACAGGTAGATATGGTAAAGACTTTTCATAGCTGTAAAGAGTTGGGTTCTTGCCGCCTAGGAGTTTCACAAGACCCTGCAATCAAAACATCAACAAAACCAAAATAAAGATATACTGGTATATATATCAATAGTGCAGCAATAACCATGGCAAATGGAATATTAGTGAAACTAAAAAATAATACAGGAAAGTGAAGTAAAGGCCTCCATGAAAAAGGGAAGAAATTTGTTCATTTTTAATTTTTGTTTTAAAATGCAAAATTCAGCAAACTCCTTACAATAGTTATGTTTGTCTCAGAGAAGAATTCTACATGAGAATGGTGCAAAAACAAAAAGAAATGTACGAATGTCAACTAAAAGCTTTTTCTGATGCCCAAAGGCAAAAGTAAACTGCCAGAGGCCACCTGCCATTCCTGGAGCAAATTAAACTAGCCCTGCACTACTACATAAAAAATAATTATTACATACAGTGTAATTCTACTGGTGTGTATAAAAGAGTTTTGCTCAGGCTGTTGACAACAACTGGATCATATCAGATCATTTTAAAGCTGGCATACCTATCCCCAACCTTTTTTCAATAATATTGGTACGTGTAAGTTCCAGGGATTGGTCTGATCTGGTCCAATTCCTGCTTTGTTGACAGCTATCCTTTCAAAGGTTTCAATAATTCCAATAAAATGCTTTGAATAGTCTCTTAGAAGCTTTAAAGAGTATGAAACTGATGAATGATAAACATACCAGTACGCATTTTGTTTTTGCTGACAGCTTTCTAAAACAGAGTCAAAAGGTAAAAGTTTTTATCAGTTAAAACAACTCTTTATTGATTCATGTTTTGCAGGGAAAACATCACTCATTTTCTGAAGAAAAAAATGTGGAACATCCATAGATTGTTACAGATGTACTCTCAGAATGACATTTCCCAGACAACAACCATAGACAACATTTCTTGATTATTAAACTATAAAATAAATATTGAGACCACACCATTTAATATTTTTAGTGGCAATCAATGGGGAGCCCAAGCAACGACGATGGCGACGGCAATGAGAAGGGCAAAACGGCAATTGGTTTAGATTAGCAAAAAATCAACTTTGCTCATGCATCACGCTTTTTGGTACATTACGCGTGAAACTTCCCAATTTCATGTTTTATGGAGCATGTGAACACAAGAAAATGATTTCCTTTTTCTTTTTATGAACTTAGATACAGTCCATTATAATATATTCAACTCTTGCAAAAATTGCCAACATTTCACAAATTAAAAGAGTTGGCATATTAGGGTGATGAAGTTGGAAGCAGCGCAAATTCACCTTCTGAGTGACGTTTTCACCGCTGTTGCAGTCGTTGTTGCTTAAGATCCCTACTATCCAAAGGTCCCTAGTCAGAGTCCTCTCCTGACCATGTAAAGCTGATTTGTTTCTCTATAGCTATAGTCAGTAGACCAGGGTTTACTCTCTCACCAGGCTTGAAAATTGCCATCTCAGGACACAGCAGTGTAAACAACGGAGAGCTTCTCCATCAGATAAAGCACTGAGTGGACAAGCTCTGCATTATCCACTGGACAATTCTTTTTTTACCAAATACCATTATCTATCTTTTACATGATTGGGACTTGGTGTTCTAACAATAAATGAAAGTTGTGACATGATTATTGACATGATTAACTTAATCACAGAACTTCACAAGCAAGTGGCTAGACCTTCGTGTGGCTCAGATGACCACGCAAAATGGTGGTCCCGTCTCCAGTTGGAGACATAAAAAAATAGTGTCCCCAATAGGTAACTCTTATGCTAAATACCTTGACGCTCAAATAAACGTGCATTTTTTTTAAAGTCTAATCAGGAACTGAATTTTACATACCCTCTTGGCTCATACAAAAATGCCTTATACTGAAGCAAGCTTCTCAAGATGAACTGCTGAATGTGGCCTATTAACATCCATAGAATTGTTGCACACACCAAGACTGCAACTGCGATAACTGTTTTGGGGTCTAAACTGTGGCTCCTTCAAAAAATGTAAAAAAAGAAGATGATTGCATCAAATTTAATTAATATGACTATGAAACATCTCCAGATGGTGTTTTGTAATTCTGCATTCAAGGCAAGTGACTGCTTTTCTGGTTTCCATAGAATGAAATAACTAGGAGTATTACAATATCCTTTCTGGATGGGAGCTAGTCCATCACAGGGTCAGACGTCCATAACCCCAAGCAAGCATCTCCCATACTAGGCGGCCTACTTGTATGTCATGACATATTCACAGACCGATTAATTTTTAGACACATTTTAGATCACTTTTCCAGCCTCTGTATATGAGTGCATTTTAAGTATAAGATATTAAAAAGAAAAACAGAATGTCTTTAAAAGGTCAAAAAGTCAGCAAGTCTTGAACACGGACCTCCAGATCCAAAGTTCGAGGTCTTAAATGCTCGGCCAACACCAGGACGCGACAAAGGTGTGGTTGAAATACGTCATTTGCAGCTAGTTATTTAAGTGGTGCAAAACTTCCATGCTGGAGAGCAAGAGATGCAAATGGGACAGAAACCGTAATTTCCTTTGTATGTCTTGTACCAGTGCATCTCTTGCCCTCCAATATGGTGGTTTTGTACCATGTTAGATGACTAGGTGTGTAGAACCTATAGCCCACAGTTACTAGAATGACCTGTTAGGCTAACATACAGTTGATCCTCTCCATAACAGCCACTTTGGGAACAGAAGAAAGTGGCTGTTGTAGCGAGGTTTTAAAAAAGAGACAATGTATGGATTTTTTGTGTGCCAGGATGAAAAAAAGTGCCCGTTGCAGAGAGGTAGCCGTTAGCAGTCCTTCAACTGTATTGTAATAAGTAGTCTGATGGGAAAGCTATATACGCCCACATAAAGCAGTGCCAGATCCAGGAGAGGGGCCCGGGGGACCTGCCCCCTCTCCCCCTTATTGTCAGACCAGACTAAGGCCTGAAGGGCTGGAAAAATTTGTTTTGAGACTGCACGCCCCGTTATCTCAGGGTACGGATGACCAGGCTCCCCCTTATCTGAAGGTCTGAATCTGCCACCGTAAAGTAAAACGCTAATGGGAAATGTGGATGGTAAGCCTGCACAGGATAGCAAGCTTAAGCAACGATTCACTCATTAACTCTCATCTCAGGCTATATTCAGAGGGCACCACGGGAATTTATTACCCGCTGGAAAATTTGACCAGAAACTTTATTCACAAGGGACCGTTCAATATTTTCTCCCCATTCACACGGAAATTTATACAGCTAGGAGTCTAAATTTTTGTACAGTTAAGGTGGTTCTACAACTAAAAGCACGAAAAAGTTTGTCCCACTCGGTGTGAATGTAGATTCAGGAGGCAAGTTTCGTATTTTCGGGAGGCCTAGGGCAAGTGCTTGTTTTCGCACGAAAGCAAGGCTAATGCGGGTAACTTCTTGGCAAGAAGACAAACAAACTGAGAAAACTGGAGCTGAGTTACCAGAAAATGAGGAAAATCTTAAAGGTTTAATGTTTCAATGGGCTTCAAACTTACTTATAGGCTAAAGAAATCATTGTTACGAACAGCAAAAGGAAGATCAGCTCTTCGTCACCAAGAAAAACAACGAGCGAATAGAAATAAAAAAATAAAAATGCAAATAAAAATGCGAAGATGGTCTCAAAATCCTCAAAGCATGGAAAAACAATGAAGCCATTTGAATGTCCATTTTCAGTGATCATTATAACTTTTTAAGTAAGCCTTTCATTGAAATGTGGTAGTTATCAAAAAAATGCAATTAAGTAAAACAACTACTTTTCAGTTGACATGTTCTAACGGAGTGGATGAAAAGTCTTCTGTATTTGAAATAAACCGAACAAGTACGTTTGGTGGAAAAATACCGTATTTATTCGAATAAGCACCCAACCTCGAATTAGCGCCCACCTCGAATAAGCGCCCATCCTAAAGGCAGAAAAAGTTCATAAGCGCCCACCCCCTGCTCCTCCCAATCAAACTCAAATAAGCACTCACCCCCACTCCACCTACTTGAGTGAATAAGTTCTAATAAGAGACTTCCCCGAGGACGGAGTTTTCTTCAGAGTATTTTACAGAAACATTTCTTTGTTACTTCTTCGCGTTTTGTTATTAGCATTTATTGTTTTGTTGCAAAATAAACATGCTTCACTTGCTGAAAATGGTGAAAATTTAATAAGTGCCCACCTCGAATAAGCGTCCACTCTCAAAGTCCAAAAATTTAATAAGCGCCCAGGGTGGTTAATCGAATAAAGACGGTATATATCATGACGGGGCTGAAGTTCTGCAAAGATTCCTTGCACTGTAAGGAAGTTAAATCGGAATGGACAAAGGTGATTTGAAAGGTATAAGTTTATTTATACATTTAGCTTACATCGTTTATAAAAACATTCAGCCACATGTAGAAAAACGATCAATGCATGCTCATTTCACTCGATTAGAAGGCGAATACAGACTTATTAATAATACAGATGATAGTAATAAAAAGTTTGAAAATAAAAAGGAATCGAATATTGACTTTTAAACAAAAGCTTAATTTACCATTTTTAAGCTGAAGTTTACTTCTTCTATTCGCTTCAGTTGTGGCTTTTTTCATGTCTCGGTTAATTCAACCAGCTCTTTCCAAAGTTTTGCTGTTTGAAGCAGATATCCCTTTATCATACTGGTAAAGTTTGAGCTTTGAAATCTTAATATTTTCATGATTTGTATCGTTTTTCAACGACTCAGCCGCAATTTACCTGTGTTTGTTTTTGCTCAGAAGTTGACCCCATTAGCTTCGCAATCAAACTCGTCCCAGGTCCATCGGGGAATACAAAACTTGCCTATTGCATCACTTCCCCAAACCCCCAAATTTGCGGATATTATTTACCCTCAAATCCAGTCCAATGACACCAAATTAAATCAATATGGCTACAACACGTTTATAGCTAGTATGTAAGGTGACAAAAACACTTAACGAGGAAAATTCATCGCAAGGTCGGTTTATCTCATCTGAATTGTGCTACCTGCCTGTTCACACTAACATTAGTTTATTATTTGATGCAGTACCAGTTTACGATAAAAGATAACTGTATTTTTCCAGTTTGAAAATATAAATAATAACACTAAAGAAGATGACACTATATCAATATAACCTATTTATAATGGCCAAACGTTAAGCTTGAGCTTTCGTATTTCACAATGTTAAGAATGTGATCTCATTCTGAGCGGCACCCTGTTACCGTCGTATAAGGCTTTGTTCGTGATAAGGAAAACGAAAACTAGAACCTAAGTTAAGATACATTGTTTTAACTTCAAGAATCTAAACTTACACCTCAGTGACGATGTTACTATCATTTGCCGCTGCTCATTTACGAGTTGGTAAAAGTTCTTTATTACTAAAGAGGACAAAGTCCACTTGTATTACAAAATACTTAAGCTTACCAAGGAAGTCCGCGCTCGACTTTTCCCAAAACTCCGACTGTTGTTTCGTGTTCTGAATATCTCGCAGCGCTTAGAGCAGCCACTAGAAGGATCCACGTCGCTGGAGTTGCAGGGAAGGATCTCTTCAAAATCGCTTTCTTTGCGCCTTTCACTCGTCGTTTTGCAGACTTCACAATGGCACGACCAACAAACTTGAGTGCATTTCTGTCAAAGTTGACGATTATTCCTTCTTCTGTAACTTGGAATTGAAACGCCACACCAAGTCTCGCTTCAGCCATAGTAGCCGGTTTCTGAAAGGTTTATTTACGTTATGTTTTTTTTTCTACAACAGAGATCGACGAAAACCCCACCGACACGCACACCTCCAACAACACGAATGTAAATTCCACGAAAGGTTCAAAGTCCACTTGGTCTTGCACTTGCAGCGTTTGTCACGAAAAATTGCTAAGGGTGGTCATGACATCAGCTGAACGAATGATCCTGTACATCTATTGTCTCTTTAGTAACAGAAATGTAAACTATGAACAACATCAATCAATAAATACTCTAATATCGAACTGAAAAGGCAACATTTCTCTAGATAACAAACAACTTTGTTGCATCCAATACGTTTCACCTCTTGTATAAAGTGAGCCTGTGTTTTTTAGTGGGGGGGGGGGGGGTGGGAGAGGGGAGGGGTGTGCTTCATGTCTAGCCCTATCCTAGCCTGCCACAGGTTCATGGAAAGTGTTGGCGGCGCGAGCCAGCAGATATGACCAACCTGGTTAACCAATAGGTGTAAATAACAAAAAGTAACAAAAAGACCTGTGTAACCATGTAAAGCAGCATCATAATTTTCGCGTGTTTTATTTACTTCGTAGTTTGAAAAACCGTTCTAGCTCTCCTGTGTAGAACCTATCTTGAGTCATGTTGTTGAACGGAGCCATAGCCGCCAAAAAGGACCTTCTCCTGCTACGATAGTTACAGGATTTACCAGCAGAAGCGCTTGCAGATGGTGACAATTTCATTTATCACGTACGGCGCGTTGTTTGTTTTTAAATTATTTGTAACCGTGATGTTTCACTTGGCGGAACTTCTCCTATGAAGTGTTCCTGTGATAGCTATTGAATCCACTTACGTTGTTAATTCCTCAATATCATTTTACTACCGTGATGGAACATTTTCTTCCTTGACATCAATTTACCCGGCATAGTAAATCGAACGTTCGAAAATCGAACTCAATCGAACTCAATCCGTGGATTGAGTTCGATTGAGTTCGGCAATCGAACGAAATCGAACACCACACTTTCAGTGAGTTCGATTTGCGAACAAATCGAATTCAATCGAACAAATCGAACTCAATCGAACTCAATCCGTCTGATTGTGTTCGATTGAGTTCGGAAACCGAACTCAATCGAACACAATTAAATGGATTTCGTTCGATTGGCTCTGGTGAACCTATACAAAGCAAGCCCGTCAAAGCAAGTTTTTCTTGCGCTTTTTTAACCATTTATTCAATAACACAAACCCCACAGAACCGAACAGAACAAACCCTGAAAACTTCGCCATCCTTGACGTCAAAGCGGCATTCCTGGTAGCCTTTGACTATACATTTGAAGCTTACGATCCACAACGCATCTGAAGCCATTTCTGCGGAATTTCTTCGTTTACGAAAAACACGTGCGCTACACTCAGGGCTGAAGTAACTCGAGCTTCTAAGATCTGGAAATGGATTTTCAACGTCTGTTTTACATAAATCACGAGTTCGAAAATCAAACGTTCGATTGGGTTCGATTGATTTTTTTTC